AGTCATACAACTTCCTCCGCATTCAGAACAGCCAGACCACCAGCTTCCCTAACTCCGTGAACGAGCTCAGGGTCGTGGTCAACGACGTCGACTCGTGCAACAAGAACGCCGCGGCCGTGGCCGCCTCGCGGCGCGCCCTGAGGCTCCCATCGTGCCTCGTGGGCGGCGCGGGGCCGCGCGGGCGCCCGTGACAAGCAGGATGAACGCTCTCTCAGGGGATCGTTCGCTCCTCCTCCTCCTCCTCCTCCTCCTCCTCCTCCTCCCCCCCCCTCCTCCTCTTCTTCGTTTTCTTTAAATTCCCTGTCCTTCTCTCCCCCCCTGGCGGAACATAGGGGGAAACTGTCTTAGCCCGCGCCGCCTGTCACTGCTTTTCGACATGCACCGAAGTGTTGCAACGCATATGGTGACAAGCTTGTAAGCAAAGTTTGTCGTCCCCTCCTCCCTTTACCTATCCCTTCGTTTGGGCGGGTGGCGGTTCCTGCAAGTGTACCCCGCCTGGTTCTCGGGGTCAGGGCCTTCACCAACGGAGCGCGCATATGCTCAGTCCGAACGACCCCTGCCTGCGTTTTTCCCTACAGACACTTTTTTTTTCACGGCCCGTTAGAAGGTCGGCGCTGCGGGAAATTCGAACCCTGCTTCACATGTAAACTAGCACGAGCCATCTCCAAAACGATATTATGGCGCCCCGCTTCCATGCCACCGATTGTGGTGGCGATCTGCCAGCAGGGGTGTATTCTGCTCAGGTCTGCGTATAAGTGCAATGTGTCCAGCGTTACTCATGAATTAGGGTTGTCTTCTTTTCTGCGCAACAGCGCTGTAAAACACGTCAGGGTTCGACTTCGCCTCATGATTGTCGGGCTTGGCCGCCCGCCGTGGTAGGTAAAAGGCAGTGCGCCATTTGAGTCCAAGGGCTTGCTGGAATGCGATGGGCGCGGTAACTTGCGCCGCATCGGCCCCGACGAAATGGTTCCGACAGCGTGCGCCACCGTATTCTTGACCACGTGGTGCGGTTGGGCTGGGTGGGCAGGAAAGGACGGGAAGTGTCCTGCAAAATGGCCGTGGCAATCGAAATGGTTTTGCCGATGAGGGGGCAAGATGAGCCCCCCTCCGAGTTCCGGCCGCGCCAATCAACCACGCCACACTATGTGCGGCAGGCCCCCCCACATAACAGCACCAAACCCCAGCCGACAATAATCGACGAGGCTATGTGCATCACGAGGGCGACGCATGTCAACAGGGCGATGGATGCGCCTGAGTAGAGTGCGCCCGCCAGCAGAAGTCACGAGCGAGCGCAGCGACGCCAACCGATCGAAGCGACTCCGCCCAGCAACATGTAATTTCAAAGCGAAAGGCAGACCATGCGAGGATGGTGAGGAATAGCAGGATGTCCAGAACGGAGGATGAGGACGACGAGGACGGAGGCCGTACGTGAGAAGCAGCAGGGGCAGCTGCTACCAGCAGGAGCATCCACGAGGAGCCTGGTACCATTGATTTGCGCGTGTAGCAGCGGTGGCCCACGGCTACAATGGGAACGGTGCGCGGCTCGTGTGGAAGGGCAGCGCCAGTGCGCCTTCCGTGCTGTATAAAAGTTCAAGGCTCAGGCCTGTGGGATCCAGTGGCGTCACGTGTATCACGCGTGGAGGCATCGGCCGGTGTAGCTCCAACTGGACGTCGTATGCCATATTGTGCTGAGTTGTCAGCGACTGTGCCCTGGACGCTGCCTCATTCAGCTGGCTGCAGTTGGCGCCCCGTATCCAGCAGATGCGCCAATATGTGGGCGCAGTCCAGGCATGCCTCTACTCGTGGTAGCCATCCTGCCAGTAAGCCGCTCCCGAAACCATTTCGCCTTGTGTTTGTTTCTTCATGCGCCTCTTCTGCATGGGGGCGACAGCTCATAGGAGAAGGATGAGGATGAGTTGGAGGTGGGGGAGGTGGAGGACGGAGGGAAAGGTGGAGAAGGAGTTCGATGTGGAGATATGATTTAAATGATGATGACTGATGCTGCTGCTGCTGATGATGATGCTGATGATGATGCTGATGCTGACGATGATGATGCTGATGATGATGATTCGATGACGATGGTGATGATGCTGATGCTGATGCTGATGCTGATGATGCTGCTGATGACGGTGATGATGATGATGATGCTGATGATGCTGCTGCTGCTGATGCTGGTGATGGTGATGGTGATGGTGATGGTGATGATGTACCAATCGGAGGGAGGAAACCCGAAGGCAGGCATGAAAGTAGAGATGGAGAGAGGACTCGGAGGACCAAACGGTGGAGGAGGAGGAGGCGGAGGAACAGGAGGAGGAGAAGGATCTCATCACGTTGATCCAGTTGGAATCTTTAGTATCGCCGTGGGATTTCGTACCGTGCGATTTTGCATGGTCTAGATATCTAGGCGGAACTTGACTGCTTGATTGTGTATGTTTGTGGGAGGTGCCCATCAGTATCGTGTGTGAAACGTACTTCTATGTCGTTTGTTCCTTCGAGCTTCTGCGTCGTGAACTTGGATTTCGTGCGGCTGGTGTGTTTGCTGTTGCAAATGGTGTTCGAACTCACTATAGCTTAGTAGCTTGTCTGGGCGCGCGTGCGGCCTGCCTGGCTCGCTCGCCCGCCGAACCCGTGCTTGCGACAGAGGCGCGCTTGCTAGGGTGTGTGTGTGTGTGTGTGTGCCCGTTTCGGCCCTTCTGCTAGCGCAGCCTTCCCCTGCCTCGCCGCCGACGCAAAAATGTGTGTGTGCGCGCGTGTGTGTGCGCGTGTGTGTGTGTGTGTGTGTGTGTGTGTGTGTGTTTGTGTGTGTGTGTGTGTGTGTGTGTGTGTGTGTGTGTGTGTGTGTGTGTGCGTGCGTGTGTGTGTGTGTGTGTGTGTTGTGCGTGCGTGCGAGCGTGCGTGCGTGTGTGTGCGTGCGTGTGTGTGTGTGTGTGTGTGTGTGTGTGTGTGTGTGTGTGTATGTGGAGTCATGTCGCGCGGTCCCTTATGTCTGAACTCGACATGCCCCTGCTACGTTAGGTGGCCTGGTCCGCGCGCCTCCTTCTCCCTTTGCCCGACTTCGCCGTGCTGCTGCGCGCGTGGCAGCGACTCCTAAAAATTGTTAGTGTGCGTGTGTGTGCACCCTGGGCAGCGCGGCTCAGGCCCGGCCCACGGCAGGCGGACACAGTCGGCTTTCATGCCGAACCTCGTGGCTGCTACCTGGACGAGGATTGGACTACCACCCCAGGCCGCTACTGACCACCTGGTGGCACAACGTTGCACATCGACTTCGGGGTCATCCTCATCTCCTGGGCCTCTCCATACCAGTCGGTGGCACCTGGTGCACTTCGCCTACCTGGTCTTCCTCTACCTCACGGACGTTGACATGGTCACGGCCCTCCCCACGCAGCACTCGAGAATGGTGTTCTTGGCGCGCCGATGACGGCAACACCAATTCACTCTCCCTCCGGGACTTCGCCCCCGGCTCCTGTCCATGGCGTACCTTGTCCTGTGCAACTTCTTCGGCACCGCTTGTGCTCTGCAACCTCCGGCCGCCTGAGGCCCCGCCCGCCCGCGCCCTGTCTCCCCAATTGGGGCTTCGCGCGCGTCCCGCCTAGCTCTTAACCAGAAGGGGCCCGCTCCCGACCCGCCGACCAAAAAATGTGTGTGTGCCTGTCAAATGACGCTCCCGACGCCGCTCCCTCACCGGGACGACGCCCATGCCCTGGCGCTGCGCCCGACGCTGCTCCCGGCGACCGCCCCGTCGCCGCTCCCCCCCAGGGTCGGCGCCCTCGCCCCGGATCGGCCCGCGGAGCTGGCCCCGATGACGCGCCCGACGGGGCTCCTTCCGCGGCGGCCTCGGGCCTGAGCGCCACGCTGGTGGTCCCGTCCCCGTGCCCCGCCTTTCGTCCCGCCTTGGCCGCCGATGCGGACGGCCTCTCCTCGGTTATGTCAAGGCGTGGCGTCATGAACTGGCCCGCTGAGCTGGGCCCGCACGCCTTCCTTTCTCCCCGCTGCCTTTGTGTTGCGCATCCTGCACTTCCCTCTCTCTTCTTCCTCGGGTGGCTCCCCCCCTTCTTCGTGTCTTCCCTTACTCTTGCCATTGTAGGTGTATGATGTCTCAGTTTTTCCTCTCGTCTCCCCCTCTTCTGTCTGTCGGTCGACCCGTGTCCCTTGCGTCCGTCCGTCTTCCTTCGGCTGTCCGCTGTCGCTGCTCGCTCCCGCGTCTACATCTCTTCGCTTGCTCCCCTTTCCCTTGTTGTGCTGGCCCCTTGGCGTCCTAATTCTGGCCAGCTTGGCCTCTGCCTTGCTGCCCGCTGCCCCGCCCTGGCCGCTGACCGCCCATTGAGGGGCCGACTCCTCATTTGACTCCATGCCGCTCCGTCTGGCCGCGGAAGACCGACACATGTGTTTGTGCGTGTGTGTGTGTGTGAGCCCACGGGCACGGAATGTCTCTGCTATTCGCCGACGAGTAACAGTGCATTTGTGACGCGCGGTAAGGTTGCTCTTCTAGCCGCAGGCGCTTATGCTATCTAGGTTTTTTGAAGGCCGTGCCTCCATGTCGTGCGCACGATGGTGGCGGTCATCGTCATGATTTGAGTTTTCGTCGTTCTCGTCTTCGTTGTCGTCGTAGTCGTTGTTGTCGCTCAGATTGAGTGCGCATTGGATGGTGCAGCGGCTGGCTATTATGTCTTATGCCGTCGTCAGTGATTTTGTGGGTCCTGGGTATGTGTGCTGTCGGCTTGCTCAGGAACCTCCGTGGATAGATACATTGGCAAGCTCAATCGTGTACTCAGCTTCAGTGTCAGACGAGCCACCCAACAGAGGCAATCAGAAACGAGAGTCAGCAAAGGTAGAAGCGAGTGGCGAGTCGATTCCGAAGCGGCTCACCTCAGAAACCTAGGCCTGTGCACGAGCTCTAAACTGAACTGAGCGAGCGGCGGCCAGACAGTCTGTGTTCAAACGTACTGTGGCGATCTGGCCGCCGGAGGAAGGGCCCGGGTCTGGGACGCCGCGGGCCGCAGATCGTCGTGACGCACTTCCAGGGGGACTCGATTTGGGAGACCTTTGCCAGGATTCTCGGGGGAATGGGTGTGGGAACAAGGGGATTCCTCCACCTCCTCCAGCCCCACCCGCTGATCCTCCTGCTCTCCTTCCCCTCCTGCTGCTGCTGTTGCTCCCCCTCCACCACCACTCCATCCCCATCCCAATGTGCTACCGCGCACCCGCGCGTGCGAGGAGGAGGAGGAGGAGGAGGATGAGGAGGAGGATATGATTCGACGCTCTCAGAGGGTCTGGCGATGCTCCCAGAGGATCTGATATGTGAGGACTTGATTCCGGCGTCGCGCTGGGTTCTCCGTGAAGTTGAGACTGGCTCGAATGATAATTGCTGGTCTTTGCCACCACGTGTCGTGCCGTGGCCAGGTCGAAAAACAGAAAGAGGGAGGAAGAGGAGAAACGAGGAGTGGGATAAGGCGGTAAAGAAGGACAGCTCGAACGAGTGAGCGGGCCCTGCCTACTGTGTGTGCACCCTCTCTTATCTCTCTACTCTCCTCTACCGCTGCCCTGGCGGCCCAAGTGTCGGCATCGAAGGTTGGGGGGTGAGATCGAAGTGGAACGGAGAGCCCCCCTACCGGGAAATCGATTTCGGTTTCGTGTTCGTGCGTGCCGTGCGGGCGAGGCGAAGCTGCGTGGGCGGGCGAGAGAAAGTCTCCTGTGGCTGAGGCGCGGCCGGACCAAATGTCTCCCTTCCGGGCGGCCGGTGGCCCGCGGTGTCCCGCCGGTGTCCCGCTGGTGTCCCGTGTGGCTGAGGCGCGGCCGGACCAAATGTCTCCCTTCCGGGCGGCCGGTGGCCCGCGGTGTCCCGCCGGTGTCCCGCGGTGTCCCGCGGTGTCCCGCGGTGCCCCGCGGTGTCCCGCCGGTGTCCCGCGGTGTCCCGCGATGATGATGATGATGATGATGATGATGATGATGATGATGATGATGATGGTGATGATGAGATGATGATGATGATGATGATGATGATGATGGTGATGTTGATGATGATGATGATGCTGCTGATGATGATGATGACGATGATGATTATGATGATGATGATGGTGATGCTGATGATGATGATGATGCTGATGGTGATGAGGACGATGATGATGATGATGATGATGATGATGATGATGATGATGATGATGATGATGATATGATGATGGTGTCCCGAGGATGATGATGATGTCGATGATGATGATGATGACGATGATGATGCTGATGGTGTCCCGATGATGAGGATGATGATGATCATGATGTTTATGTTGATGATAATGATGATGACGATGATGGTGTCCCGGTGATGATGAGTATGATGATGTTGATGTTTTGGTGATGCTGATTATGATTGTGTCCCGATGATGATGATGTTGATGATGATGAGGTTGATGATGATTATGGCGTCCCGATGATGATTATTCTGATGGTGATGATGATGATGTTGATGATGATGGCGTCCCGATGGTGATGATGATGATGATGATGATGATGATGATATTGATGCTGATGTTGGTAATGACGATGATGGTGCCCCGATGATGACGATGATGATGCTGATCATGATGTTGATGATGATGATGATGATGCTGATGATGATGATGATGACGATGATGATGATGATATGATGATGATGGTGTCCCGATGATGATGATGATGATGATGATGATGATGATGATGATGATGATGATGATGATGATGCTGATGCTGATGATGATGATGATGATGATGATGATAGCGATGGTGATCATGATGATGTCCCGATGATGATGCTGCTGCTGCTGATGATGATGATGATGACGATGACTGTGTCCCGATGCTGCTGATGATGATGTTGATGATGATGCTGATTGTGATGATGGTGCTGATGATGATGACGATGGTGGTGTCCCGATGATGTTGATGCCCGTGATGATGATGATGATGATGATGATGATGATGATGATGATGATGATGATGATGTTGGTGTTGATGATGAGGACGGTGTCCTGATTATGATGATTTTGGTGATGATGATGTTGATGTTGATGTTGTAATTGTTGATGCTAATGATGATGACGTTGATTGTGAGAGCGGTTGTGATACCGATAGTGAGATCGATAGTGAGACCGAGTGTGATATCGATTGTGCGATCGATTGTGAGATCGTTTGTGAGATCGGTAGTCAGATCAATTGTGAGATATATCGAGTGAGATCGATTGTGAGATCGATCGAGGGAGATCGATCGAGCGAGACCGATACTGAGATCGATAGTGAGATCGATAGTGAGACCGATCGAGTGAGACGTTGGTTCCTCCCTCCCCGAACCTCCTTATCACCCGAAGGGTGGTCGTATAGGTATATATACATGGGAGTACCCTCTCGTCGTGAGATGAGAAAGCATGTATCGTCTCCATCCTACGGACCACCGTCTCTGATATTCCGCCCCACGCAAACCCACTCCCACAAACATAAGAACTACCGCTGCGCTGGCGCAGCTGGCTATCGGGACGTGCGCGCGACTCCCGCGCGCTTCCACCAAGACCCGCGAGGGCAGACCATGCACCGCGCCGAGCGGGGGACGCACTCTCCAAGCGAAGCCTGCCACAGCTCGAGGAACCAGAAACGGTGCAAACAGAAACTCGGCGGCGAGCCCAGGGGGGAAGCGAGAGGGGGCACGCCTTCTCAGAAGGCGGCGGGACTTCTCAGAGGCCCTCCAGCCTTCGGAGAAGGCTCCTGTGTTTTCGGGGAAGGCTTAGAAGACTTTTCAGAAGGCGCGAGGGCTTCAGAAGCCCCGCCGTCTTCTGAGAAGGTCTGCCCCCTTTCACTTCCTCCTGGGGTTCGCCGCCAATCAACTTTCGGAGGTCCGCGCGGATTTCTTGGATCGGCGCTGGAATCCTCTGGCTGCACCTTTGGCGCCGCCCCTGGCGTGCTCAGGGAGCCAGGGAGGGCAGTTCAGCGCAGATCACAAAATTCGCGCGGGCCTCCGAAAGTTCATCTTTCCCCTGTCCCCCTCTGCCGTGCCCCATCCCGTAGCTCGACCAGCGCCTGCACCAGCTTCGGCTCGCGTGCGCCCGCTGACTTAGTACGTAGCACCCCGCAATTGCGGATAAGAGTGAGGGGGCGGGCGCGGGCGACGCGGGCGTCGAGCCGGCGGACCTCGTGGCCCTCACCTTCCCTGTCGATGGCGCCCTCCTCCTCCTTCTGCTCCTCCTCCTCCTCCTCCTCTTCCTCGTCCGCGTCCTCGTCCTCATCGTCGTCGTCGTCGTCCGCCTCCTCCTCCTCCTCCTCCACCCCCTTCTCCTCTTCCTCCTTTTCCTCCTCTTCCTCCTCCTCCTCCTGCTCTTCCTCCTCCTCCTCCTCCTCCTTCCTCCTGCTCTTCCTCCTCCTCCTCCTCCTCCTCCTCCTCCTTCTGCTCCTCCTCCTCCTCTTCCTCGTCCGCGTCCTCGTCCTCATCGTCGTCGTCGTCGTCCGCCTCCTCCTCCTCCTCCTCCACCCCCTTCTCCTCTTCCTCCTTTTCCTCCTCTTCCTCCTCCTCCTCCTGCTCTTCCTCCTACTCCTCCTCCTCCTCCTCCTCCTCCTCCTCCTCCCTCCTCCTCCTCCTCCTCCCCCTCCTCCTCCCTCCTTTCTCGTCGACCCCCTCCGTCCCCCCCTCCTTTTCCTCCTCGCCCTCGTCGTCGGCCTCCTCTTCGTTCTCGTCGTCGTCGTCGTCGTCTTCCGCCTCCTGCTCCTCGCCCTGCTCCTCCTCCCGTCCTCCGCGGAGCGCGCGCGCGCCGGCGGGGTGGGGTGGGGCGGCGACGGTGACGTCGACGGCGACGGCGATGGCGGCGGCGGCGACGGTGACGGCGATGGCGGCGGCCGCGGCGGCGGCGGCGGCGGCGGCGACGGCTGGGTCGCGGGCTCTCCACCTCCAACTGGAAGGAATTCAAAAACAGCCCGCCGCAGGCGCTGAAAATTTTGATTTGTACACTGCACGCGGTTTGGGTCGCAGGTTCTCCACCTGGATCGAATGCAAAAGAAACCCGCCGCAGGCGCCGAAGTTTTGGCTTGTTCAGTGAACGTAGTTTGGGTCGCGGGTGGGTCGCGGGCTCTCCACCTCCACCTGGAAGGAATTCAAAAGCAGGCCGCCGCAGGCGCCGAACATTTTGATTTGTACACTGAACGCGGTTTGGGTCGCGGGTGGGTCGCAGGTTCTCCACCTGGAACGAATGCGAAAGAAGCCCGCCGCAGGCGCCGAAAATTTTGGGTGGGTCGCGGGGTGGGTCGCGGGTGGGTCGCGGGTGGGTCGCGGTGGGTCGCGGGTCGGGCGCGGTGGGTCGCGGGTGGGTCGGGTCGCGGGTGTGGGTCGCGGGTGGGTCTCGGGTGGGTTGCGGGTGGGTGGGTCCCGGGGTGGGTCTCGGGGGGGTCGCGGGTGGGTCGCGGGATGGGTCGCGGGTGGGTCGCCGGGGGGGTCTCGCGGTGGGTCGCGGGCGGGTCGCGGGGTGGGTCGCGGGTGGGTCGCGGGTGGGTCGCGGGGTGGGACGCGGGTGGGTCGCAGGGTGGGTCGCGGGGTGGGTCGCGGGTGGGTCGCGGGGTGGGTCGCGGGTGGGTCGCGGGGCGGGTCGCGGGTGGTACGACGACAACAAACAACAAACACCAAGCAACAAACAACAAGCAACAAGCAACAAACAACACAAAACAAACACCAAACAACAAGCAACAATAACAACAGCAGCAACAACAACAATAATCCGCATCGCGGAATTCCACTTCAGCCACGCACCCAGGGACAGTGAATGACCGTTCGGTTCAGCCCCCTCACTCTGACATGCTGTTTGTATTGTCAGTCTGCTTTTCTCTCCCCGTCCTGTCTGCTAAGCTGCTGTATACTATTGTGCGGGTTTATGGTAGTGACGATTCTTGCTAGCGGGGATGCCGCATATTGTCGCTGCGCGCCTGCCCAAGCTAAGGTTCACTGCGTGGGCTCACCTAGTGCAGATTGACTAGTGGGCCTGTCGGGTTTGCTTGAGGTCTTTTCTTCGTTCCCCCTTTCGTCGTCGTCGTCGTCGTCCTCCTCCTCCT